GTTACCAGTTCCAGAACAGCTGATTTGAGTTAGTTCAGTCAACTCTGAGAATAATCACTCTGAGTAAAGCCGACAATAAAAAGCCATCATCAATGGAGCTCCAACTCCACGATTCACCATGGCAACAGGTAAATAAAAGACAGCGCCTCCATTTTAATCCAGTGGATGTAGAGATATTAATGCATGTGTAGCAGACGGTGCACGTTTATCTTTAAAAGAAGAGCCTGAGTCAGAGCGAGGAAAGTGTAAATAAGGTAACCATAAAGTTAATAAAAAAGTTTTATTCAGTGTTGTCCGTTTATTCATCATTTATCAGACTTACATAATTCTTAATGAAGATAAAGTGGTGGAATCTGACTGTGTATCAGGCTGTAGATACATTACATTATATTAATAATATATAATAATATATTTGTTCAGATTTAATCTGATGGGGAAAAAACACAGGAGGCAGCAACTGAAAAATAGGAAGATTTAAAACATATAGGCTAGGCTAATAGATCAAAGCCATAAAGACATGACTGTAAACTCACAGTCTGACCCAGTAATAATATGTTTGGTGATTTGCACTTGAAAAGACGTTGAGGTTAAAATACAGTAGATTTTAAAATGTTGGACATCTATTTGTATCTTGACTCAACAGCATTCAGTGACTTTATTTCAGCTACAAATGTAGTAAATTTAAAGACACTGAAATGCTGCACCATTGCTCACTCAGAAATATTAACATATAATCCCCAATATTAGGCTATAGGAATTATGTTCCATCAGTGCGACCAATGACATCAGTGATAGAGATCATTAGTCATTGATACTACATGTCTAAAGCTTCATACCGATTATTAAAATTTAAATAATTAGACCTACACATTATGTGCAATAAACATTTCGGAGCTGCTCTAACAGACTGACAGTCTGATCCTTGTGCACAGTGTTATAAAAAATAATAAATATAAAAAGGACAGAGGTTTGATTCTGAGCTGAGGATGAATTCTCGCTGTGTAACATATGAATGTTAAGACAAAGACCGATGTCCAAAGAAATGATTGATGTGCATAAATTCAGTAACTTAAGACAGTCCTGAGTAACAAACTAATATCCAGCAGGATTTAGACTGTGACAGACGGTAGTTATCCGCTAATTAATGCGCTTCGATACAAGCTTTGACACGAACTGAATGAATGAGGAAAAGAAACAGCATGTAAGAGGGAGGAGACAGAGAAAAACTCAGGGTTTATTGAAGAAAACCTGTCAGCAAGCAGGTTATGTTCACAGAGTCTGTTACCATGGTGACTGACTCAGAGTTTCAGTTAACATAACCCACTTTCTGGAATACCCCCCTGGTGAACTATGAATGTTTTGCAGACAAACACAAGAGATTACTCACCCCCTTGGTGAGGCGTTTGCGAAGCAGGTCAGACCCCCCAGGTTTATTTCCTAACTGTGGGTACCTGGCTTTCAGTTTAGCCTCCTCCGCCTTCTCAGGACTGATCACCTTCTCCTGGACCTCCTGAAAACAAGCAGAAGCATTAGGCTTCAAAACAAGGGGAAGGAGGTTACTCAACAACCACATGCATCACAACAAGAGAGAATATGAACTAGGTGCCTCAGGGCTTCAACTGAAACATGTCAGCTGATGGCAATGCAGTACAGAACACAGTCATACGTTTACACAAACCCAACATTAATGCAACACATGCAACACTAGTTAAGTCTAATAAAGCCGGTTATAACAATATCAGCACGGAAGTACTTAAATATTAACCTGCCTGGGATAGTGTTAATCCATGTTGGTTTTATAGGGCTCTGCAGTCCATATCAACATCAAGCTAATTGGAAATATTGGCTAATGTTATGTCGACAGCAACACCCTCTCAGAGTACACACTATAGAACTAACGTTACTCGGTTGAGTGTGTTGGAGTACCGTTTAGGATTAACCGCAAAATGTGCTGTTAAATAACCGTCAGTTTGATACTTGCTAACAGCTGGGGCGATTAGCTAGGTAGCAAGCTAGCTGCACGGGAAATCGCGGTAGCCACAGTAGATGAAAGGATAACGTTACTATAACTGACGTTAGGCTTCAAACCGGAGTACAGCAATCTGTTGGGTTGTGCTAAGCTAACGTTAGCACCTAAGATAAGGGTTACCCATTTTCCAGTGTGAATGTCATGACAGTTAGCTTGGCGAGTAGCGAGCTGCTAGCATTAGCTGGTAGCACCTCTAACATTCACACCAACCACCCGAAACATTTACTAGAAACTGAAACGGCAAGCCAGCTAGCCGATAACAATATGTCGTTATGAAATTTGAGAAATAATATTAACTATTCCACCCAGGGCTTTGTAGGTGGTTTCGGCTGATATGTCAACAATGACGAGCGCGGGGCGAAGCAGCTAAGCTATAAAACGTAGCTAGCATTAGCTGCAACAAAGTCAGCGGTGCTGTTGCTAAGCTGCTAAACCGCCGCACAGTTACCTTCTCCTCCATGGGTGTCTCCTCGGCTGCCTGCGTCTCTTCGTTCTCCCCCGACATTTCTGTAATATCGTGATCTCAGACAAGAGATTGCTCACTAGTTGAACAAGTGATCCACAAATCCCCTGCTCTGACTTTCCGTTCCCATACAAGTCCTACACAGGCGAGCGCGCACTCCCACACAAGAAATACTACGTCACATGCGGAGACACCATGCGCGCACACATTCGGGCACTCCTGCCGCGCACCCGCACATAGTGCTGGGATCGGATTTACATTGCGTAACATACCGATCAGCTGTTAGACCCATGTGCTGCAGAGCTGGCTCTAGCCACTTTGATGCCCTAGGCGGGATTAGGGTTCGACGCCCCCCCACTCTAGTTTAACATATTTTTTTGAAGGGGGATTAGCTATTCTAGCTTTAATATGTCGTGTAGACAACTTGAATAAATAATAAATATTGATAGTTGCACTATACTTTGATTATATTTTGAGGTTGGCCATATTTCCTCTGTAAATTGTATTTGTCATCAAATATATTTTAGTGTGCTACTTTTACCATAATAATAGAAGTATGTAAGACAGATTTTAATAATAGATACTGTTGGTATTCTTGAGTAGACTCCTTTTAAAAAAGTCAAATATGTGGCAATATTGCATTCAAATGAAAATTGGGATCTGTGTGCAAGCTACAGTTCCCATTGTTTTCTGTCGCTATGGAGGTTTATAAATGTTTAAAGGCTTGGCCAACTTACTGACATTGTAGAAATAGACTTTCATAGCCCCTATGTGTGGACAAATGGACAAAAACACTCCAGATGTACAGGCCAGGATGAGTTGCATGTGTAAGTGATGTGAATATTGTGATAAGAGTATTTGTGAATATTTGATAGAATTATACCAAAAATGTTTCTGGGTTTGGCCATATTTACATTAGAAACATGACTGCAGCAGTAACATACAATTACAGAACTCATTTGATTCAGGCTGTGTCTCACTGGAGGTCGTGAGGTAGTGAGGTGATGTGCTGAACCCAGCCGTGCTGCTACTTGTTGCCTGACTTGTAGCTGTATTCAAACATACAGTACATCCTTACTGTTACGCCACTGCTGTCTGTTGTGTATTTCTACTTCATATAAAGTAGGCACTGTACAAATAAACTTTATTTCATTTGACCTATATTTACTGTAATTAGTAACAAGGTTAAACTGGAACATTCAATAGTAATAATAATGACATTATAATAATAATATTAATAACAACAACAAAAATAATGATAAAATTGAGAACATAGCAGTGTATCAGAGACCACAAATAATTGGCTAAACTTACATTCTTCAGCGAGTGGAGGAGATGACAGAGAAGGCCCCTCTGCAGCAGCTTCTCAGGGCTTCTAGTTCAAATATTTTCTCAGTGCATCTGGACAGACGTAGAGTAGATTTACCTCTTACTGTACAGTACAAGCAAAACATGCTGCTGCAGCAGACAGACGACTACTTGCACTAGTTATGTGTTCAACATAACATAAATTATTATCTAGTTGTGATTATGCATTACTAAAATTAAAGAGATTGCACTACAATTATATAAGAAACAATAAATTGTGAAGACAGTAAAGCCTAGCATTTAAAGTCTTGTGTGGGATTTTTTTTATTTTGACTTCTCTGGCTTCAGTTCTTGGCAGGTTAGGGCTTTGTGATGGTATGTCTGGGGGTCACTAGTTTTTAGGTGATTGTAAAATTTAATTGCTCTTTTTTGTATTTTCAATATGAGGCGGAATTGGCCGAGTTCTGCTCTACATGTGTTGTTTGGTGTCTTTCTCTGGACGTGCATGATGTTCTTATAGAACTCTGTGTGGAAAGAGTCTATTATTGTTTTGTCCCATTTTTCAAATTCATGATTTAATTTTGGTCCCCAAATTTCACTGCCATAGAGAATTATCAGTTCTTATACAAATTGGAAAATTTCTGGCCAGATTTTAATTGGAATGTCCAGTTTAATATTTCTTCTAATTGCATAGAAAGCTCTTCTTGCTTTGTCTCTCAGATCTTTCACAGCCAAGTTGCAGCTCACAATCAAGATTGAAGTAATTTCACTTGGTGAGTGAAATATTGATAATACTGTTTCACTGTAGATGTGAGGTAGGTGTGGGTCCTCCAGGTCTCCTCTGAGAGGGTGCCCAGCTACTATGAAAAGTCGTGAAAAAAAATTCCCAAAGTGGGTGTCTTTGCTATTATGTTTTCATTCATGTTTTTACTCGTGCATTTAGAGCTGCAACTAAGGGTTATTTTCACAGTTGATTAATCTGTCTATTATTTTCTTTTTCCGATTAATTGGTTTATTGTTTGGTCCATATAGTGGCAGAAAAAGTTTAAAAATGCTGATCAGTGTTTCCCAAAGTCAAAGATGGCGTCCTCAAATGTTTTGTTTTGTCCACAACTCAAAGATATTCAGTTTACTGACATAAAGAAGTAAAGAAACCAGGGAATATTCACATTTAAGAATATGAGAGCAGAGATTGTTTATATTTTTTTCTCAAAAATGACCCAAACCGAATAATCAATTATCAAAATAGTTGGCGATTAATTTAATAATCGATTAGTCTTAGTCATCGATTAAGTGATTAATTGTTGCAGCTCTATTATAGCATTATTATGTTTCAACACACATATTTATAACAAAGGCAGTTAAGAAGTTTAATTGAACTATATCAGTGCCATCACCTTCATCTGACCAGATGTTACATGTTTAGGGCTGGAAGCTGATGACAAAGAGGGAGCCGAACCCATGGAAGAGGAAGAGGAGATGCCTGCCACAAACGCACCACCTCACAATGAATGCTTCACTAAAGACCAGACTTTGTTCCTCATCGATTTGATGAGGAACAAGCTAGAAGAAGATGGAGGTGAGCTGCCCAAAACATTGAGAGAATTGAATGCCAGGGTGAAGGCGGGCAAGGGATCAAAAAAACTCATGTGGAAGGAGATGGCTGCCAAGCTGACAAACCACTTTAAAGTGGTTTTTGACCCAGACAGAGTGGCCCGGAAATGGGGAACGCTTGAGGAAGTGTACAAGAAAATTAAAGATAACGCACCACAGGCAAGGGTGCACTGCGCTTTCAATTTTACAACGAGATGGAGCAACTTCTGGGAGGGCACCATGATATTGAGTTTCCAGTGGTGAGAACTTCTGATGGCTTGGAAATGAGGAGACCCGATGCACTTCTCACTGACCGACAGCAGCCTTCTGCCAGTCTTTCCTCGGGGTCAGCCAGTCTTTCCTTGGGCCCAACTCCATGTTGTCCCCGTTGCCAAGAGGAAAGTAGCCTCTTGGGATTTCTTTGTGAATCTGAGGCTGCATCCCAGCGCAGACACGAGGAGATGCTCAACCACATGAAAGCTTCCCAGTAGTCCTTTGAGGCCATGATGAAAAGTTACCTGGAGAAGAATTAGTTATCCAAAGAAGAACGTTAAAAGAAGAATGTTAAATTGTCTGCATGCCATTATATTTGATATTATTATATCACTTTTATTTCATTTTTTTAATATCATTTTATTTGTATGCACTTAAGCGCTTTATTTTTCCAAAGTCAATTTCAAAGTTAAGCACAGTTAAACACTTAATGTTTACAAATGACAGTGCACAGACCCCACAGATGTGTGTGAAGATCATCCACAGGGCTGCCCAAGACAGGGTGATGAAAATGAACAGACTGCACTACAACTATTAGATGGTGATGGCAACTAGACATGTTTTGTTTTTGCTTTGAATCTGTCAATGAATAGTTTTACTGGTATGTTCTCTTTTAATCTCACAATAAGCCATCAACTTTATGTGAAAAACATCCAACATGTTGTGCATCTTAAATATTCATGCATTCATTGCATTAATGACCAGTAGAAGTTCCACTTTTGTTGAAGTTTGACAATTTTATTTAACAAATGTAAAAGCACATGTACTGTCATTTGTAAACATTAAGTGTTTAACTGTGCTTAACTTTGAAATTGACTTTGGAAAAATAAAGCGCTTAAGTGCATACAAATAAAATGATATTTATCTGATAGCTCTCGAAAAGAGTTTTGGTTGCCTATATACCAAAGAAACATGGCAAGCTGGTGAAGGGGAACCTCTGGTCGGCCTCCAACATGAAGGGTCTGGATGTACTGGTTGAGCTTCAGCAGCAGAAAATCAAATTGCGCCCAGGTCACCCGAAGATGCCGGTGAAATGTATGCTCATCCATCTGCATAAGTATTTCCCATTCTGTACCCGTCTTTAAAATAGACTTTCTGATGGATGGTTGTGACAGCAGCAAAGCATACCTGTAAAGCAACAGAAAGTAAGACGTTTATTTATTTATTTAGGCTATTTATTTTACAACCTAGATGTTGAGGCAAGGGGGAAGTTACGGAAAAGGGAATATAGTTCTGCGCGTACAGCAAGACAGGCCAGTTGACACCTGCACGGCTCGCTTTTACTTGTTGATGCGTATAAGGTCAATGAGGCATTCAGGATTCCCCTCGCTGGTGAGTTCAGGACTGTGTGTTGCAGAAGAGCGGAAGTTATTTAAGTCATACTTACAGCATATGACATTTCACTTTCTCTCTCTCCCTCAAGTAGCTCATATACTTCCCCAGCAGTAATTTTTGATGCTTGAAAAGCACCCAGACAAACACCACCTGGCCGGCCATGTTTTCCGAGCTTGCGCAATGAAATGCATTTACCTCGGAAGTCGGAATTTCCGACCCGGATCTTTCCGAATACAATCGAACGCAGCATTACTCATTAGCGTAGCCAACCTAAGCAAGCTTTTTCGGTAACCCTGTAGTAGATTAAAGTTTTTGTTCAGTACTGAGGATTTTGTTTAATTGTACTAATTTCAATTTGGAAAACTAGCTTAGCTCTGAAGAAGCACAGACATTTTGAAAGAAGCACAGGCAGGGGCGTCATGCAACCCCAAAATGTGAGGGGGCACAGTGGATTGGGTTCGTGCACTATGAGCACGCACAAATTTTTAAGGGAAATGCCCTCAAATCACTTATTTTGGGCCCCTGCTGCACAACGCCTTGAGGTTGGATAGGGCCCAAACTCAAAGCCGACCCCCCCGTCCAGACACACACACACACACACACACACACACACGCACACTTAA